CCCCAAAACCCCAAAACCCCAAAACCCCAAAACCCCAAAACCCCTTGTCTAATAATAATTTTTGAAATTAAAATGGGATGTCAAGGGAGTAAGAACAAAAAGAATAAAAAAAAGAACAAACCAAATGTGAGAAGAAAAGGTAGAAATACCGAGACTTACAGAGTGAGAACAGGATTCAAGGTAACAAAAGAGTCTATTCAATTACTTTCTAAAGATGAGGGTGACGAATATGCCCTCTTTGCAGACATCGACGAATATTTTGATAGAGAAGAGTTACCTCAAAGCAAATACGTTACTCTTCTCAAAGCTATAAAGGACAATAAGACCAAGGAATATACAAATTTGTTGAAATAACTATAAGATCACAGCTATGGATCTGGTTACAGGACTTAATGATACAGTTGATTTTGGAAATAAGAAAGACGTTAGTGGTACAGATCTGAATCCTCTGCATTGGGCTGTTTATACTAACAATTTGAGAGCAACTAAAGCTGTAATCGAAAATCAGATTTTTAACATTGTAATTGCTGGCAAAGTTCCCACCAATACAGGCATGGCTAATGATAGTGAGATTTCTCAAGATTGCACTGAAGATGCTTTTGACGGGACAAGTGGAGCATTGAAGAGAAATGCAAGCAGAAGAGACACTAATACACATAGTGAAAGTCGATTTGGGTCAATCCCCAGAAGTTTAGTTCTATTCTGGCCAATTGACCAAGAAAACTTAGAAATCTTTGATTATCTATGGAATGATCTGTCGGTAAACTGGGGATTAAAGAGTCTTAAATTCATTCTGACAATGATCTGTATCAAAGAGAATATGAACTTATTAGAATCTTTCCTTGAATCCCCTACCTTTGAGAAGATTGTAAACTATATGCCATTCCATGAGTCGATGGACTTCTTGGAAGCATTCATTGTTAAGAATGAACGTATACCTGAAGAGATGAAAAATGATTTATTTGATAGGCAAGAAATGCTTGTATATGATTTCGTTGGTGAACTCATGTGACTAGAAAATAAGGACCTCCAAAACTCATCCCACCAAAAACTTAAAGAAAGGTACTTACTTCATTCTGAAATTTGAGTATTGTGGAGTGGGCCAACAACTCAGGAGTCAAAAAATTCAATTTAAAATCCAAATTAACCTCATACATATAGGCTTAGAGAAGAAGACTATGAAAGAATTAAAAGCAGTCCTAAAGCTATGGCTAAGGTATTAACCATTCTAATCTAGTCCTAATTTTCTCTAGATCGAAGAACTTAAGAAATATGTGCAATATATTGAGGATTCTGATGAAAGGGATGAAATCAACTCTCTACTTGACAGACTTGATGATTAATAATAGTTCGAAATATTCAAAATGGTTACAGGTTAATGGGGTTTTGGGGTTTTGGGGTTTTGGGGTTTTGGGG